GTACAGGATCAGTGAGGAAGAACAGGCTAGGTAAGTATTACCAGGGTCAGGAAAGAGGTGGGGTATCCTTTGCAGACACCCTGCCACTTGCCCTGCATGAACAAGATGATACTGTCTCTTTAAACTGGAGCAATTGCTATTGAAGCTGTGCAAAGAGACAAATGGCCTGAATACAACTCTAACTTGTGCACCTATTGCTGGTCTACTCTACTAAAGTCATGGAAAATGTGAATTTAATGTGAAAACCTGTGAACGAAACACTGAGGTGTAAAATTTCAGCAGGTGTGGTTTTGGCCTCACCCAAGTAAGGCTGCCCATACATGGATCGCAATTCAATCCATTTTTTCATCCGATAATCAGACCTAAGAAAAATCGTTCGATTTTTGCTCTATTAGTGGGTCAATGGCACTGGCCGATTTTCGTGGTTCCTCCCCTTTTCGGTGATCGGGCATGCTGGAAAATTCACAAAAAACAACCAATTTTCGACTCAATGATGGTCAAATCGTACGATCGTTTTTCCGAAAAGAATATGCGCATGAACCGTGCCCTGGAAGGAACAGAAGTTTCATGGGGTGAACTTTATGACTTGGTCAACCGATTTTAGAAATCATTGATGGTACCATCAGACTACCGAGGGAACACCTAAGCATTTTCCGCAGCATTTTGCAGAAATGCACTATAGTCCATTTAACATGATTTTTCTATGGGACAGGTTCAACCGGTGTGGTTTTTGGAAAGGGTCATGGACTTTTTTAAACACAAAAAGTTGCATTTTGCACAGTGGCTAAATGGTTAGCACTTCCGCCTGGCAGTACTAGGGTCATTGGTTTGCATCCCAGCCATGGCACCACCTGCATGGAGTTTTCATGTTCTCCCTGTGCCTGCGTGGGTTTCCTCTTGGTACTCCGGTTTCCTCCCACACTCCAAAGACATGCTGGTAGGTTAATTGAATCCTGTCTAAATTGGCCCTAGTATGTGTATGTATGAATGTAGGTTAGGGACCTTAGATTGTACACCCCATGAGAGTTAGGGACTGATGTGAATGTACAATATATGTAAAGCGCTGCGTAAATTGAAGGTGCTATATAAGTACCTGAAATAAATAAATACATTTTGCTTCTATAGACTTCAATGGAAACGCTGCAGAAAAGTGTGTAGTGTGTTTTTGATGCGTTTTTGCCTCGTTTTGCGTTTTAAATCTGCCTAGCAAAAATAAAAAAAAAACGCAGAGCACATCAAAAACGTGGCAAAAATGCATGTGCAAAAATGCATTGCAGAAACGGATCAAATGCAAACTGCACAGGTGTGAACCTAGCCTTAGTGGTTATCAGAAAAAAAGAGTCACTGTCAAAGCAGCAACACTTTCAGTATATTAACTCCTTGGCGCCTCCCGGTTTCAGAAGCCAGGGAGGTAGGGCGGGCTTTAGGGTCAAGTGACCGCCATGACACGCCGTCACGGCGGTCACATGATCGAGATAGGTCCCTATCGAAAGAGGAGATCGAGACCTTTCCGTGAGTACCGGACATGTGTGCTGGAAACGCGCAGGGCGCACGCGCTCAGCACATTTTTTTTTGTAATAGAACGCAAATATGCGGCCACTCGGCATCTAGGCCCAGAAGCCAGGAGGCCGCACATTTGCGTTCGGCCGGCGCCAAGAGGTTAATATATCCCTGTGATAGCAGTACAACAAAATACGGGGGGGCCATTGCAGTCCTTGACCGCATTGAGATATTTCTCATCTATTTAGTCCCAACATGAATTATGGGAAAATCTACCCAGCAGGGACACAAACAAAAACTTGATGTAGGTTCTATCCCCCTCCCCCATTCTGTTTAAAGAACCACAACAGCTCTATGGAGAAGGGGCCTAATCTGAACTGCTAAATTCAGGGTTCCTCATATTCTGGCAGCTTTGGGTTTGCTTCTCTATGTAATTTCTTTCTTTCTTTCTTACGTGTGTATTGCAGATGATTAGTACTTTTTTGACTGTATGCTCATTCACTACATTTGTGAGCTTTGTGTTGGCTTTCTTGGCCACTTGTGATTTAACATTGATCTAGCACAGTTTTGCATTTACAGTTGCAAGAAAAAGTATGTAAACCCCTTGGGATTACGTGGAGTTTTGCATGAATTGGGCATAAAATGTGCTCTGAACGTCATCTAAGTCACAACAACAGAAGAACACAGTCTGCTGAACATAATACTACACAAACATTAGATGTTGCCATGGTTTAATTGCAATTAACGTATAAACATTCACAGTGCAGGGAGGAAAAAGTATGTGAGGCCCTAGCTTAATGACTTCTCCCAGAGCTAATTGGAGCCAGGAGTGAGCCAACCTTGACTCCAATCAGTGTGATGATATTGGATGTGTTGCTGACAGCTGTCCTGCCCTTAAAAAACACACACCTGTTTTGGGTTTACTGGTTTCTGCGAGAAATGTGAACCATTTCTCGCAGAAAAGAGCTCTCAGAAGACCTACGATCAAGAATTGTTGACTTGCATGAAGCTGGAAAGGGTTACAAAAGTATCCCCAAAAGCCCTGATGTTCATGTGTCCACGGTAAGGCAGACTGTCTACAAATGGAGAAAGTTTAGCACTGTTGCTACTCTCCCTAGGTGTTGTTGTCCTGTAAAAATGACTGCAAGAGCACAGCGCAGAATGCTGCATGAGGTAAAGAAGAATCCCAGAGTGTCAGCTAAAGACCTACAGAAATCTCTGGCACATGCTAACATTTTTGTTGACACATCTACAACAAGGAAAACATTAAACAAGAATGGAGTACATGGGAGGACACCACGGAGGAAGCCATTGCTGTCCAAAAAGAATATTGCAGCACGTTTGAAGTTTGCAAAAGAGCACCTGGATATTCCACAGCACTACTGGCAAACTATACTGTGGACAGATGAAACCAAGATTGAGTTGTTTGGGAAGAACACACAACACTATGTGTGGAGAAAAAAAGGCACAGCACACCAACATCCAAACCTCATCCCCACTGTAAAACATGGCGGAGGGAGCATCATGGTTTGGGGCTGCTTTGCTGCCTCAGGGCCTGGATGGATTGTTGTCATTGATGGGAAAATGAATTCCAGAGTTTATCAAGACATTTTGCAGGAAAACGTACGACCATCTGTCCGCCAACTGAAACTCCGCAGAGGATGGGTGATGCAACAGGACAATGACCCAAAGCATTCAAGTAATTCAACAAAACAATGGCTGCAACAGCACAGAATACGCCTTCTGGAGTGGCCTAGTCAGAGTCCTGACCTCAACCCGATTGAAATGCTGTGGCATGACCTTAAGAGAGCGATTCACACCAGACATCCCAAGAATATTACTACACTGAAACAGTTTTGTGAAGAGGAGTGGTCCAAAATTACTCCAGATCGTTGTGCAGGTCTGATCTGCAACTACAGGAAACGTTTGGTTGAGGTTATTGCTGCCAAAGGAGGGTCAACCAGTTATTAAGTCCAAAGGTTCACATACTTTTTCCTCCCTGCACTGTGAATGTTTACATGTTATGTGCAATTAAACCATGGCAACATCTAATGTTTGTGTAGTATTATGTTCAGCAGACTGTGTTCTTCTATTGTTGTGACTTAGATGACGTTCAGAGCACATTTTATGCCCAATTCATGCAAAACTCCACGTAATCCCAAGGGGTTCACATACTTTTTCTTGCAGCTGTATGTGGGTGGCTTTTGAGCTGCCGATTGGGGATCAGCTTCCATCACATGTTTGGCTAGGGCTACAAGGGGGATTGTTAGTAGCTCAACTAATTTATTGAAACCACCAGCGATCATTTCAAGGTGTAGCAATTTTTTCACTAAAAACAAATGCCCATCTATGCAGTATGGTACACAAATAACACTTAGTAGCATAACGTAGCGATCAGTCTGACATGATTGCATCATTGTGTGATCATCCAAGACTGATTGGTTTACATCCATTTCATGATTAAGGGCTCTTTCACACGGGACGGACCAGTTTAGTGGATCTGCTTGCTCAGCGGCTCTCTGTGTCCCAGCTGTGTCCCCTCCGTTGCTGTAAAGCGGAAACAGAGCTGCTCGCTCTCCTCAATGGGCGGGCGGATTTAAACGGACCACCTGTCCGTTTTCATCCGATCCGATCTGACGGACGGAAGGGGAATTGGATCCCCATCTGTCCCTTTTTGGTGGATTGGATGTTGGCGGTGTTTACACTCGCCACTCCAAAGAGGAGAATGGTGGTTCCGATCGGGTCTGCCTGAAAAATAGGCAGGCAGACCCGATCGAAACATTAGTGTGAAAGAGCCCTATTTGCTACACCTAGCAATTAATTGCATGTCTGAGCTGCTAAAAATCTCCTGTGTAGCTCTGACCCAAAAAAAACATATTCCAAAAAACAGACACAGGAAATTTGGTTTTTGATGAGTTTATTTTTTTTTTTGGGTAGTTTTATATTTTATATTTTTTATATGTTTTACTTTTTGTACAAAAATATACATTATAAAATTATACAAGTAGAATTATATTTACATTAGAAAGCCAAATTCCATCCAAAACCTTTTTTTTTATTTTGGATGGAGTGGGAAACAGTTAGACTCCCTGTCAAGTTTTGATTATTGCCTGTTTCCCCATTTAGGAGATTTTGTGTTGGACAGAACAAGAAGCAAGAGAAGCCTCTCCAATGGGGAAACAGAAATCAATAAAAACATTTTTTTTCCAGTAGAGTGGGAATGATTGGCACCTATGTCAGGTATATATGGCTCTTTATGTCCCCTTGGGTAGATCTCCTTCAAGTGTGAAAAGAAGGTGGGGGGGGTGTAATATCCTGAGGTGAGACTGCAGTAACAATTAGAACAAAGGGTTTATAACTCTTTCCCACTCTATCCAAGCGTAAAGAAAAAAGTTTGTCTGGATCATCAATCCAAGTACACATTGACAAATCAGAATCGGGTTCCAGGCCATAGGTCAAAACCGAAAACAGAGGCAGTACCACATGCAAATGATCGAGTATTATTGCTGGATCTGTGGGACGTACAGTTCTTCACTGATCAGCTGATCTGTGATGTCATGTGCAGCTTTTTCCATGTCTAGACTCCGCAGGGCTTTTAGGAGTGTATTGATGTCAAACGCACCTTTCTGGTACCAGGTTTGCAGCATGGCACTGTGCTGATTATTAACATTGCTAGGGTTGTCCACTTTAGCGCTTTCAATTTCATTTTGACTTAGTCCCAGAGAGTGCATTAAACTTGAAAACTCTTTAATGGGAACCTTCCGCACAATAATGGGCCACAATCTGGGGATGACTGTGAAGAAAGCAAGACAGAATGTGTTAAGCAAAAGTAAATTCCTATTTATATTACTTCACATATTTTGAGTTCATATTTTAGATTTTCGTTTACTTGGTTTATGTGACTTTCACAGCTTTATATGTTCTCTGTATCAATTTCCTCTTTCCCCCAACCACCAACAGCACATACTCACCTTTCCTTTACATCTCTGACATTCCATGCTGGGAGAGAATAAAAACAGTCCTGTGTGAGAGCTTACAATGGACTGATTAACCCTTGCCCATGTGACAGCACTGGGCCAATCACTAAGCACCAGCACTGTCTCATGAAGATGAAATACCATACCTGGCAGTAACGGATATTTTCCTTACACCCTTTGGCTGAACAGAGCATCAGGGAGCTAAGGATGTTAGGGGTTTTACAGAGATCCTACTACCAACTTAAACAAGCTAAAAGCACAAAAAAAAATCAAACATCCTAAATGCTTACTTGTAATCTTCTCCTTTCCATTAATTTTTTTTCTTCGCTTGCAAAGTGCCTGTAGCCTCCCTGGGGGTATTCACGAGTGTAACTCGGGGTAAAGTTTCAGTACCACAAGCAGTAACCCCGAGCTACACTCGGGAATACCATGCGGCGCTGCTCCGCGATCTCTCAATCACTTACCTTATCCTGCGCTCCCGCGATGTCCCTCCTGCAGTGTCCCCGGCAATGTAATCCAGCGGATGCCGGCATCTGTCATCTGGTTTCCGTTCCCTGCGAGTGTACAGGGGACAGAACGGCGGCAAATTTGAAAATGACAAAAAGTGACATTCACAAAAATCACTAAAATCACATAGTAAAACATTACTGTATCAAACCATTTCACATACATTTTGTCCCTAGTGCTTTGTCCTGTGCCCTGCCTGCATTTTTACTGTTCTTTCTACCTGGAAACTGAGAAACGTCCATGGCGTCCAAAAAACGTCCCTTTAGGTCAAAAGCGGTTTTAGACCAGCTAGAGAACAGCGATAGTAAATCAGAACTACTTGCAGAATTGAGTGATAATGATTCGTGGGGAAATTCGTCATCAGACACTGAAAATGATTTTGCGACTTTGCTCAGCGATGTGCGGACTTGGCGCTATATTTCAAATTTCAGTGTTTTTGGTTTGATTATATTATTGAATTAAATTTATTATTATTATATATATTATTATTTATGATTATTTATAAAATTATAGTTTATGATTTCGTGTTTCAAGTTTTATCCTACCCGGGATGTTTACTAGACTCTTGTTCGCACAGATTTCAGTGAGGTTATTCCTAAGAATTACAGGCCTACAATATAAAACGCCAAATTTCCATGCAAAATAATGGTACTGCTTTCAGCACCAAAAATCTGAAATAATCATACCGCCAGGGAGGTTAAACTTGCTTGAACATATGGCTACTGCAGGAAGAGTCAATTTCGTAGCACAGCTGCCTTTTGCTCATCATAGCCCTCTCCACTTCTGAGAGCATATAATTACTTTGTGCTGGCCCAGCTCCTCCGCCCCTCCCCTTACCTCTTTACATAGCCTTTTATATAGCTGCCGGGGATGGAGAGAAGCAGAATAATATAGAGTGACGGCTCTGAGTCTGTTGATGTCGCTGATATCACATCCAAGATGGCAATGCTCTTAGGGCTTTTGTGGGAGGCTAAAAGGATAAGTGAACTTTGTTTGAACGTGCACATGTACTTTAAAGAAACCTGAAACTTTGCTGCTGCCCTTACCAACTTGCATTTGGAGGATGGCATCATTCTGCTTGTTTCAGTGCTTGATAAGTTATTTATCCAGTAACTGAAAAGTCTCGAAGTCACTAGCTGCACACTATTACAGGGTCAATGACTGATCAATAAGTGAAGCAGAGGACAGGGTTACAATCTCTCCTCAAAATCAAATACCGTATGCCTGTTTTTTTTTTATTATTATTATTATTATTATTATTATACAGGATTTATATAGCGCCAACAGTTTGCTCAGCGCTTTACAATATAACGGGAGACAATACAGTAACAATACAGTTCAATACAAGAGGGATAGGAGGGCCCTGCTCCTTGGAGCTTACAATCTAGGAGAGTGAGTGTTTTCACAGATTCCCTTTAAAGTCTCCCATTAATAACTAGCTTTCTTCTTGGCAGGAGGTCCGTCGGATTGTTAAAAAATGTACGAATTATTAGGTCCCCGATGATCCTGCTTTTTTTCTTCTTCATGCTACCAACATTCCAGCGAAAGTTTACAAACGTTCAATTCTACGACACCTTCTGAACGCTGCCAAATCTTGTATATCCCTTAAATGGAAGGACCCACAACCTCCATATTTTGGAGTTTGGCTCCAAAGGGTAGAGGAGCTAAATGTACTGGAAGATTTGGTACTGACAAAATAAGACAAGCATGAGGTGTATTCCAAAACATGGGCCTTATGGAACATGTTCATCTTTGTGGAGGAGGGGAAGTCCCTTCTCGAGGTGAGTCACCCCATGGTCTATTATTATTGTTATTATACAGTATTTATATAGCACCAACAGTTCGCTCAGTGTTGTACATTACAATGGGAGACAATACATGAGACAGTACAACAACAATACAATGCGATACACGAGGGGTTCGAGGGCCCTGCTCCTTGGAGCTTACAATCTAGCAGGTTGTCTAGAGTCTGATTACACCTAGCTGTGCTTCTGGACATGGTCACTCGACACACTACCCTGCTCTCCTTCCCTTTAAGCTCTCCTTGCCATCACCTAACATTCCCTTTCCTTCCCCTCCCCTTTCGCCCCCCCTCCTTTCTTTTCTCATTTTTTTTTCTTCTTCCTTGTTCTTTTTTTCTCTCCTTTCCCCACCTTCTTCCTATGCTTTCTCTCTCAGTTTTTTGGAAAAAGTTACAGCAGTGTCATTCAAGGTATTTTCTTTCCATGTTGGCTACAATCTATGCTTATGTATACTAAGATACCTGACAACATCGGGAATGACTGTATTATGGTTTTCTTCTTTTGTGATATACTTGCACAGTTTTAACCATTTTGTGTAATACTTTCTAAGGACGGAAACTGTTGTATTTAAAATAAAATAATTTGAATTAAAAAATAACTTGCTTTCTTTTTGCAATTAAAAGAGACCATTATTCAACTTTTAGCAAAATCTATATTAACAGTCATGCTAAGAAGATTAGAGTAGCTGGAGAGCTGAAATACTAAACTTTCCTGGAGAAAATACTAACCTAAGTGCTCTCTTGTTCTGTTCATGTTACCAAATGCTAGCGCTTTGGTCCCATGATCTTTGCTGAAGGACCAAGGATCAGCCAGTCTGAACACTGAGCCTTCTCCTAAACAAAATAGATAGAAGCACCTAGGCCATTGGACATGTTCCCAACATAGAAGGGAGCAATGAGCAGAGTTGATTTCCAGAAACGTTATTTAGCCCTTCTAGTACTCTATATGTGTTTCATAAATTTAGGTTAGAATTAGTCTACTTTAAATCTTACTTTTCTGATATAACATGACATCATATTTTATCCCACCTTCTACTGTGTAATGTGCAAAGTATGCAGCTCACAAAAAAACAAAAACATCAGTAAGTTTCTACCTTTCATTAATCAAGCATGCATGCTCTGGTGACCTGAGTATCATTTTTTGGGTCCCAGATGGTGGCCAGAATATTTGACGGATAGTCCAATTGCATCCATGCAGTACATAGTAAAAGGTTTTTGTTAATACTGTCCCCTTCCCTTCTGTCTCTTGCACTTGTTCAGCCACTCTCTTTAACCTCCTTGGCGGTATGATTCTTTCCGATTTTTTGTGCTGAAAGCGGTACCATTTTTTTGCATGGAAATATGTAGTTTTTTATTGTAGGCTGTAATTTTTAGGAATAACTCACTGAAATCTGTACGAACAACAGTCTATTAAACATTTCGGATATGATAAAATTTGAAACACATCATAAATTATAATTTAATAAATAATCATAAAAAATAATAATATAATAATAATAAATTTAATTCAATAATATAATCAAACCAAAAACACTGAAATTTGAAATACAGAGGCAAATTCGCACATCCTGAGCAAAGTCGCAAAATCGTTTTCATCTGATGACGAATTTCCCCACGAATATTATCACTCAATTCTGCAAGTGGTTCCTATCTGTTCTAAAACCGCTTTTGACGTAAAGGGACGCTTTTTGGACGCCACAGACTTTTCTAAGTTTCCAGGCAGAAAGAACATTCAAAATGCAGGCAGGGCGCAGGACAAAGCAGTAGGGACCAAATATATGTGAAATGCATTGAAACAGCAATGACAGCAAAATGACATTTTTAAAAAATTTAAAATTTCCCGCTTCGGCGCCCGTACGTCCCGACGTCACAGGGACCGGAACACAGAAGCTTGCCGGCATCGGCCGGAGGAGATGGCCGGGGACGCTGCAGGGGACACATCGCGGGAGCGAACGACAAGGTAAGTGCTGCAGGGACCCCCAGAGCAACGCCGCATGGTGTAGCTCGGGGTTACCGCTCTTGGTATAGAAATTTTACCCTGAGCTACACTCGGGATTACCACTAAGAAGGTTAAAGCTGTCCATACACCCACAGACTTTTCTAACAGATCCCACCATCCATGCTAAGCAGAGTCTTTAGGCGAATCTCCTATTGTACTGTAATGTATTGTATTGATGCCTCTGGTTATCAGAGTACTCAATCGCAACTAATTGGATGCATGTGCTGTTCAGCCATCAAAATTCAACCCAGCTACTTCGATTTGTCAATGCTGGGTGAAGTGGTGCTGACTTGGCCACCCACTGATCAAGTTTTGTTCAGTTCATTAGCAAAAGTCCACAATTTTCTCAGTGTATGGTTAGCTTAAGCACCAATTTGTTACTTTTGACTTACACTGGACTGAGGACCCACTCTCTTTCACCATGTGACAAGGCTGAGTTCTTCATGAGCAGCCAAAGGGCAAGCACAAACACTGTCATACATGGGGGGATGCCCATTGGTTAAAGTGCATGTTTATGTTAAGAATGATTGTCCATGCTCAAATCTCCTTAACACATCCCAAGTCTATGAGTGGCACTAAATGTAACCATGATAGGTGTCATTGTATGCAAACAATCTTTGTTTCATGAGTATATATATCTAAGATGTTACCTAAAAACTCCAAATGTAATCTCTGCAATAAGATAAAATGGGTGATGTAGAAGCATGTGTGAAGAGTACATGCCCACTTACTTTCTTCTTTCGTGTCTCTATCGATTCCTTCCTTAAACTGCAGAATAATGTCTCTTTGAAGTAGGTCTCCTTTGGCCTCATTGTGGTCTTCATTTTCCTTGCAGCAGATATGGAAAGTTAGCTGTGAGCATAAAACAATGAGTGTGAACTATCCTACAGGTGTTCACATTAACATTTATATTTGAACATCCAATACACTTAAATAAATAAATAAATATATATATATATATATATATATATATATATATATATATACACACACACACACACACACACACACACAAAATATTGCCAAAAGTATTGGGACACCTGCCTTTACACGACACATGAACTTTAATGGTATCCCATTCTTAGTCCGTAGGGTTCAATATTAAGTTGGCCCACCCTTTGCAGCTATAACAGCTTCAACTCTTCTGGGAAGGCTGTCCACAAGGTTTAGGAGTGTGTCTATGGGAATGTTTGAACATTCTTTCAGAAGCGCATTTGTGAGGTCAGGCACTGATGTCGGACAAAAAAGCCTGCTCACAGTCTCCGCTCTAATTCCCCCCAAAGATGTTCTATTGGGTTGAGGTCAGGAGGCCAGTCAAGTTCCTCCACCCCAAACTCGCTCATCCATGTCTTTATGGACTTGCTTTGTGCACTGGTGCGCAGTGATGTTGGAACAAGAAGGGGCCATCCCCAAACTGTTCCCATAAAGTTGGGAGCATGAAATTGTCTTGGCATGCTGACGCCTTATGTGTTCCCTTCACTGGAGCTAAGGGGCCAAGCCCAACCCCTGAAAAACAACCTCACACCATAATCCCCCCTCTATCAAACTTTACACTTGGCACAATGCAGTCAGGCAAGTACCGTCCTCCTTGCAACCGCCAAATCCAGACATGTCCATTGGATTGCCAGACAGAGAAGTGTGATTGGTCACTGCAAAGAACACGTTCCACTAGAGTCCAGTGGTGCATGCTTTACACCACTGCATCCGACGTTTGCATTGCATTTGGTGATGTAAGGCTTGGATGCAGCCGCTCGACCATGGAAACCCATTCGATGAAGCTCTCTACGCACTGTTGTTGTGCTAATCTGAAGGCCACATGAAGTTTGGAGGTCTTTAGCTATTGACTCTGCAGACAGTTGGTGACTTCTGCGCACTGTGTGCTTCAGCATGAGCTGACCCCACTGTCATTTATGTGCTCTACCACTTCGTGGCTAAGTTGCTGTTGTTCCCAGTTGCTTCCACTTTGTTATAATACCACTAACAGTTGACCGTGGAATATTTAGTACCAAGGAGATTTCATGGATGGATTTATTGCACAGGTGGCAACCTATCACGGTACCAAGCTTGAATTCACTGAGCTCCTGAAAGCGACCCATTCTTTCACAAATGTTTGTAGAAGCAGTCTGCATGCCTAGGTGCTTGATTTTGTACACCTGTGGCCATGGAGGTGATTGTAACACCTGAATCCAATAATTTGGAGGGGTGTCCCAAAACCTTTGGCAATATAGTGTTTGTATGTATATATATATATATATATATATATATATATATATATATATATATATATATATATATAACATTCCTGCATTTATTTCAAGTAACTGTCTTTTAGGAGTCTGCAGTTGACTATGCAACCAGCTTAAAATGCTTGTTTAATTCTATTCCAAACATAACGTAGTTTATTAAAGTTAGGGTTAGGGTTAGGGACTGATGTGAATGTACAATATAAATGTAAAGTGCTGTGTAAATTGACGGTGCTATACAAGTACCTGAAACAAAAAATAAGTAAATAAAGGACATGTATTACCAAAGCAAGCTATATCATTGATAGGTTGAGAGATCTTTTCACACATGTGAAATAAGTGATATACCCAATCAGATCTCACTGTCCATTTTTGAAGACAGGCTTGGATTGGTTGTTGCTGCAATCACAGCAGTGCTAGATAACTTCAATTATGTGCCTGACGTATATCCTGTGCTCAGGCACATGCTACTCATGCATCACCCATCTATACTGAAATTTAAATTGCTTTGGATCCAAAAGAATGTATATTATTACATTATTTTTATACAATCAATAGATGTCATACTTACTTTACCAAAGAGTTTAGACCCTGAAAAAAGACAGAACAAACAACAGTTATGGCATGCTCTACATGGTTTAATTAAACACCTCTACCTTATCACAAGACACTCAAATAAAGTCAACTTAAAAAGATGAAATTGAATATTATATTCCTCTGATGTTCACAGAAGGTGTTACAGGATGCGAATATTTTATAGTTAGTTAGCCACATGGTACTGCATTTATGTTTTAGTTAACAAATATTGGTTTCTGTATCCTATACATAAAAGATGATAAACACAACATCAAACTGCAGAATGATCATACTAATGTTAAGGCCGGTTCACATCATGCCCGCAAAGAAATGCACTTTGAGTTCCTGTTCAGTTCACATGCAGTTCTGTGCTGTGCAATTTCAGCACATTATATGTGAATGGGCTAAAATCGCACAGCATCGCACCAAAAGTAGTGCATGCACTACTTTAAGAAAAGCACTGCAACCGTGCTTTTGTACCATGTGATCCAGTGCAGGCAAACGCGCCGCATTTGCGACCTGCATTTGAGGTGTCATTAACATACTACTGACACCCACTGCAGATCTCATCTCTGGCAGTTTTAAATGTACATTTCTGTACTTGCAGGGTCTATAAGTGGATAAAACAAGAGGAAACTTGCATGTATTGCAGAGATGTACTATATATTTTTTAGTTTGTCTTGACAAAGTGGAAGAGCAGTGAAGCCAACCATAGTGTAATAAATAAATACATATTTATTTCATTTAAAAAAGCAGTAATACACCTACAAATATTAGATACATTTGTGAATAGGTAGGCACTGATTGATTAAATCAAATATATCATATGACAAAAAATAGAGTTTTCTATCAGTGACATAAAGCAAATAATAGTCCCAGACAGAATATAATGAATAGTAAACATATATTGAGTGACAGTCCCATAGAAATGTAGTCCCATAGGTCAAGAATTTTCTATTTCACCACGTATAAAATAATAAGTGAATTCCTCACTCGCCAGAAAAAATTTACCCTGGTTAAGGTGGTCAAATAGCGCTTTGTAATCATAAATGTTGACAACCAGCAGCAAGCTCTCATGGATCAGGCTTCCTGGTCTCCTGATATGGGATATTATTATTATTATTATACAGTATTTATAAAGCGCCAATAGTTCGCTCAGCGCTGTACATTACAAAGGGGGACAGAACATGTGACAGAACAATACCAATACAATGCAAAAACATGAGGGGATCGAGGGCCCTGCTCTTTCGAGCTTACAATCTAGGAGGGAGGGGATAGTGGTACAGGAGGAGGTCGGCAAGTTAGCAGGGGGTGGGGTAGGCATCCCTGAAGAGATGGGTTTTCAGGGTGCGCCTAAAGGAGAGGAGAGTAGGTGATAATCTGATGGGTTTGGGGCAGGGAGTTCCAGAGGATGGGTGACACCCTGGAGAAGTCCTGGAGGCGGGCATGGGAGGAGGAGACCAGGGAACTAGAGAGAAGGAGGTCTTGTGAGGAGCGGAGTGTGCGTGCTGGGCGGTACTTGGATATTAGGTCAGTGATGTAGTTCGGGGCAGTATGGTGGACAGCTTTGTACGTCAGCGTTAGGATTTTGAATTTGATCCGTTGCGCAATCGGAAGCCAGTGGAGGGATTGGCAGAGGGGGGTGGCAGAGACAGAGCGGTTGGAAAGGTGAATGAGTCTGGCAGCCGTATTCAGGATCGACTGAAGTGGGGATAGCCAGCGGCGCGGCAGGCCAGTGAGGAGGGAGTTGCAGTAGTCGAGTCGTGATATGATGAGGGAGTGGATGAGCTGTTTAGTGGTTTCTGGGGTTAGGAACGTGCGGATTTTGGCGATGTTGCGGAGGTGGAGTCTGCACGAGTTTGTTAAAGATTGGACTTGGGGCTGGAAGGATAGGTTGGAGTCCAGAATGACACCCAGTACTCTGGCCTGCAGGGCGGGTTTGATGGTAGCGTTGTTGGACGTGACGGAGAAATCAATGGGGGGTGGTGTCCGGGCTGGGGGGAAGACAAGAAACTCAGTTTTGGAGAGGTTCAATTTAAGGAAATGGAGCGACATCCAGTCTGATATGTCGCTCAGTAGGTGTGTGATTCGGGCTGAGACCAAGGGGGTGAGGTGGGGGGTTGAGAGATAGATTTGTGTGTCGTCGGCATAGAGGTGGTAGTTGAAGCCGTGAGAGTGTATGAGTTGGCCAAGGGTGGAGGTATAGATGGAGAAGAGAAGGGGCCCGAGGACAGAGAGGGGGAGTGAGGGGGAGGTGGTAGCATTATAGGTAACGCTGAAGGAGCGTTGTGTGACAGGTAGGATGAGAGCCAGGAGAGAGCAGAATCTCTGAGGCCGAGGGAGTGTAGTTTTTTGAGGAGGAGGGGGTGGTCGACTGTGTCGAAGGCCGCAGAGAGGTCAAGGAGTAGGAGCACTGAATAGTGGCCATTAGCTTTGGCGGTTAGCAGGTCGTTGGAGAGTTTGAGTAAGGCAGTTTCTGTGGAGTGTAGGGGACGGAAGCCGGACTGTAGGGGATCGAGGAGGTTCTTGTCGTTGAGGTGAGAGCATAGGCGGGTGTAGACTAGGCGCTCGAGGAGTTTAGATGTAAATGGGAGCAGGGAGATGGGTCTGAGGTTGTTCGGGTCATTGGGGTCCAGGGAGGGCTTTTTAAGTATGGGGGTGATGTGTGCATGTTTCAGAGGGGAGGGGGGGAAAGTGCCTGAGGAGAGGGAGAGATTGAAGATGTGGGTGAGGGAGCGTAGGATCGAGGAGGAGGAAGGTCGTAGGAGTTGTGAGGGGATAGGGTCGAGGGGGCAGGTGGTGAGGTGGGCATCAGAGAGGATCTTGGAGACTTCCTCGATGGTAGTAAGGTCAAAGGTGCGGAGTGTGGGGGGAGCTTCAGTATGAGGAATGTAGGGTGGGGTGGAAGAGGAGGTCAGAGCAGTGGTGGGGCCGTGGGTGAGGGGTGATGAGGGGGTAGCTGAGTGAGGGTGAAGGGGGTTGGAGAGAGTTTGAGCAGCGACGAAGTCCCTGCGGGTTATGTCGAGGGGGAGGGGGGGATAAGGGGGTAGCTGTGTGAGAGGGGACGGGTTGAGAGGGCGTGTGAGTTGCGGCAATGTCCTTGCGAATTGTGTCAATCTTGTTTTTGAAGTGATTGGCAATCTCAAGGGCAGTGAGTGAGGTGCTGGGTGGAGGTGGGGGTGGAGAGAGTAGAAAGTTGAAGGCAGAGAAGAGTCGGCGAGGATTGGAGGAGAGGGCCTTGATGAGGGTCAAGAAGTAGGCCTGTTTGGCAGCATGGAGGGAGGAGGTGTAGGTGCGGAAGGCAGATTTATAGCGGGTGAAGGCTTGTTGGGATTTGGTTTTGCGCCATAGTCGCTCCAGGGCACGACTTTGTCGTTTGAGGGTTTTGGTGTGATCAGTCTGCCAGGGCTGGAGCGGTCGGGGTCTGATGTTGCGTGTGGTTAAAGGCGCTAGTGAGTCAAGGGCTGTTGAGAGCGCATTGTTGTAGGCGCTCAAAGCCAAGTCGGGGCAGGACAGGGGGAGGATGCGGATATGGATCTAAGGGGCCCCGAGGGCCTTCAGCACAATGCTGGAGATGCTGGAGTGAGCGGAGTGTGAATACAGCTGCTTGGAGCAATATCTTTATCTTGAGGAGAGCCTGGGTTTAGGAATCCATCCATTTTCTGTGCACCTAGAGTCTTGTGACCACTTAACTGGGGGCAGTCAACTTTGGCTCCCTGGATCCATATCCCATAGCAGGAGACCAGGAAGCCTGATCCATGAGAGCTTGCTGCTGGTTGTCAACATTTATGATTACAAAGCGTTATTTGACCACCTTAACCAGGGCCAATTTTTTCTGGTGAGTGAGTAATTCACTTATTGTTTATACTTGGTGAAAAAGAAAATTCTTGACCAACGGTACTATATTCCTATGGGACTGTCACTCAATATATGTTCACTATTCATTATATTCTGTCTGGGACTATTATTTGCTTTTTTATGTCACTGATAGAAAACTCTATTTTTTGTCATATGATATATTTGATTTATTCAATTAGCACCTACCTATTCACAAATTTATCTACTATGTTTATTTCACTATTTAGGGGCAGCTGTTTTTATTGCCGGCTTAGTTTCAATTCACTTTTGTTTGATTTATTCACATATTTAGGCGCCACAATATTGCTTTTTCACAAATACAGTCACAAACCCTTGGGAAGCAAGGCATGAACAAGCAGTCAGCTCAACTCAGTCTCTACATATCTGTGGCCAGCGGCTGGGGATGCTGGTGGCTGAAGAAGGGAAAGAATGTTTCCCAGAATTTGTACTGGGACTTGTGCATTAGAATGGGTGGAGTCAAATTCGCTGACACCAGACTTTCTTATTTCTCTTGCCGCACAGACCCATTCTTGTCTTGCTTTCCAAGCATTTGTAAGTGTATTCCTGCTCTTTTTTACTTAATAAATCTGTATTTATTTACTACTCTATGGTTGGCTGTGCTGCTCTTCCACTTTGTCATAAATGATTCAGTAACTCTTAGTGATCGTACTACATTGTATAGTTGCTTCTCTGAGGGCAGCCTTTGCTACATTTTAATATTTATTGTGATTTGTGATATTACATTGAATCCCCCATTTATTCATTATTTCCTTTTTATATGTGCACATTAAATATTTCTCTGTTCCTCCTTTTAATATATATATATATATATATATACACACACACACACACAGTGGCTATAAAAAGTCTACACAACCCTGTGTTTCTGTGATGTACAAAAATGAGACAAAGATAAATCATTTCAGAACATTTACCACCTTTAATGTGACCTATAAACTGTACAATTCAGTTGAAAAACAAACTGAAATCTTTTAGGGGGGAAGTAAATATAAAAAAACTAAATTAATGCGGTTGCATAAGTGTGCACACCTTCTTATAACTGCGGATATAGCTGTGTTCAGAATTAAGCAATCACATTCAAAATCATGTTAAATAGGAGTCTGTACACACCTGCCATCATTTAAAGTACTTCTGATTAACCTCAAATAAACTTCAGCTGTTCTAGTAGGTCTTTCCTGACATTTTCTTAGTCGCATCCTACAGCAAAAGCCATGGTCTGCAGAGAGCTTCCAAAGCATCAGAGGGATCTCATTGTTAAAAGGTATCAGTCAGGAGAAAGGTACTAAAGAATTTCCAAGGCATTAGATATACCATGGAAAACAGTTAAGACAGTCATCATCAAGTGGAGAAAATATGGTGCAACAGTGACATTACCAAGAACTGGATGTCCCTCCAAAATTGATGAAAAGACAAGAAGAAAACTGATCTGGGAGGCTGCCAAGAGGCCTACAGCAACATTAAAGGAGCTGCAGGAATATCTGGCAAGTACTGGCTGTGTGGTACATGTTCCAAATACCAGTCAATATTGGCGCAAAACCTTCAGGCTTCTGCTAGAAAGCTGAACATGAAGAGGGACTTCATCTTTCAGCATGATGACCCAAAACATACATCCAAATCAACAAAGGAATGGCTTCACCAGAAGAAGATTAAAGTTTTGGAATCGCCCAGTAAGAGCCCAGACCTGAATTCGATCGAAAATCTGTGGGGTGATCTGAAGAGGGCTGTACACAGGAGATGCCCTCGCAATCTGACAGATTTGGAGTGTTTTTACAAGGAAGAGTGGGCAAATTTTGCCAAGTGAAGATGTGCCATGCTGATAGACTCGTACCCAAAAAGACTGAGAATCAAATCAAAAGGTGCTTCAACAAAGTATTAGTTTAAGGGTGTGCACACATATGCAACCATATTATTTTAGTTTTTTATTTTTACTTCCCTTCACCTAAAAGATTTCAGTTTGTTGTTCAACTGAGTTGTACAGTTTATAGGTCACATTAAAGGTGGAAAAAGTTCTGAAATGATTTATCTTTGTCTCATTTTTTTACATCCCAGATACCTAACATTTTAACACGGGTGTGTAGACTTTTTATATTATTATTATACAGGATTTATATAGCGCCAACAGTTTGCGCAGAGTTTTGCAATATAAGGGAGACAGTACAATTACAATACATTTCATTACAGAAGGAATAGGAGGGCCCTGCTCATGGAGCTTACAATCTATATCCACTGTATGTATATATGTATATATATATATATATATATATATATATATATATATATATGTGTGTGTGTATATATATATATATATATATATATGTGTATATATATATATATATATATACAGTATATTTGGGTTACATCTTCCATTGATCTGTATTACTTTGATGTGCACTTTACTTTGATGTTATCCTGCTGATCCTCACCTGTGTCAGTGCTCCTTTTCTTCTGATATACACAAGCAACGATGATGATGATGATGATAATGATGAATGAAACCACTACACAGGCTATGACAATATCTGATAAAACAAAGACAGGTCCACATTAGAAAATATTGGAGAGTAAGAATGATAAAGTCACGGAAATGGAAATATAGTTCCTTGGATACACATACAGCATTGAATGCTGAGTGGCTGCACCACCTGAAATATGCTGCAACCGCAGATAAATTACATTTTTCCAATGTGATTGTTCCACAGAAGTTGGTCTAATGACTGAGTTCTATTGAACAGGGAAGGCTACAAGCAGATCGCAGTTTGGCTGGTTCCTGCTATCATGACTGAGTTTTGATCCCTCTGCACCCAGCCTAACTCTCTTGCATGCTAATCTTACGGAACTGCCATGGTAACAATATATACCACCAGATACCATGTAAAGGTAGAAGCTGACTTGTAACATGAGGCATTGAGGCAGTGGATTTAAAATGGATTAAAGACAAAATGATATTTCTTAATTATGGATAGAGTAGGAATGGCAGCTCCCCTGTCAAGTTTTCTTTTCTCTCTGGGACCCATTGGGGGGATCTTCCACCTATATTCAGTCATAGACACAAAACAGGAAATGAGAGAAAATCTCTCCAAGGTTTTCCCCTCTATTGCTACTCCAATGGTAAGAGTCTTAGATTCCCCTTTATCCTCTGTCCCAATGACAGTGGTCATCAGTACAAAAATAAAGGGTGACTCTCCCCAGCAAGCAAAAACCCTGGCAGAGAGACTAACTGCTCCTTGGTCTACCCAAAACTATAAAATAATTTTATCCTTTGATACTTTTTAACAGCATTCTTTCAAACTAACTACAACTTCTAATGTCAGAATACTAAGAACACTGCCCACCTTCCCATGTGCAGCATACTGTTTTAAACAAAGGATATATACACCTTAAAAGACAATGATATAGCTCATAGGTAATACAAGGGGAGCTTACCACTTGTGCTAGTGGAAGAACTTGGAGGGCTGCAGTGCATATCTGTTGTTGAATTGCAGGGTGCCTTTACCACCTGATCTTCAGGGCACCTAAAAAAAAATTTTGCAAATGAGAATAAAGACATCGGGTGGAAGTAGGGAAATAGATATATTTTAAGCATTTTAGACAATTATACCAGAGACAGGTAAATGTACTTAGAATCTCAAACCAAAAACATTTTTTTTTAGTTTTTGACTTATTGGTAAGGAGTTAGGATCATTGTCAGGTTTTTAGATCTGTTTGTGTTCCTCTAATGGAGTTTACTCTCTCGATTTGCCCTGATGACCAATGGACCTGAAAACAGTGGAGAAATCCAAAATTTTGAGCTGTCACTAGAGCAGGAACAGAGGGAAAATCTTGCAATGGGGACACTTGTTCCTGTGATAACTAACAGGGAATTTTGTCACTTTGGAGAGATTTCTTTTCACTTCCTGTTGTATTTATAGGAAGTGCCTACCAAAGAAACACTGACAATGGTTATAACCATTCCCTACTTTATCCAAAATGAAAAAAGTTAAATTGAAAACAGCCACTGCTCCCAATTTGACATCAGTGTGAGAGCAGGCGCATGTGTTTGTTCCTGAACCCAGCAAACAGTTATATACCCAGTAGGAACATACAAAATCAGCTGTTTTACCAGCCAGAAGATTTGTATTTCTCTGCATCTGAAAACTTTGGTTGATTAGGAAAGCATGCAGACAGAAACTCTATAGTATTCCGTCTAAATCTTTTTGCACTGTATCTCTGTCACCTTGCAGAGGAATGTCTGATGTGTAGCACACTGACTCCTCACCTGCTTGTACAGGGCATGCAGATCTCACATGGCTGGCCTGGTGGACAGAAAGTTCCCTTCTTGCAGTGGCAGACGGTGTTCTTAGTAGCAATACAAGAGGATGTCTCTTTCTGATCTGTAATGACACAAAGATAAGAGTACATTGTGATTTCATGTTTGCTACAGCCTACCTGTGAGCAGTCCTGTGTTCATTTTCTCAGCCCTTATTTATTTACAGCATATCTGTGTTCATAGACTCAGCTCTTATTTATATAAACAGCATATTTGAGTTCATAGACTCAGCCCTTACATAAATACAGCATATCTGAGTTCATAGACTCAGACCTTATTTATATACAGCATATCTGAGTTCATAGACTCAGCCCTTATATAAATACAGCATATCTGAGTTCACAGACTCAGCTCTTATTTATATACAGCATATTTGAGTTCATAGACTCAGCCCTTATTTATATACAGAGCCCTTATTTATATACGGCATATCTGAGTTCATAGACTCAGCCCTTATATAAATACGGCATATTTGAGTTCATAGACTCAGCCCTATATTTATATACAGCATATCTGAGCTCATAGACTCAGCTCTTATATAAATACAGCATATCTGAGTTCATAGACTCAGCCCTGATTTTACACATAACATACCTATATTTCTGGGCTCAGTCCTGATTTTTATATACAGCATACCTGCTTTCGGAGACTCAGCCTTGATTTACATATTGAATACTTACATTCATGGGCTCAGACCTTATTTATTTACAGCATTGCTGGGTTTATAGGCTCTGCCCTTATTTACATATACACCTGTGTTCATAGGAACAGTCCTTATTTACTAATAGCATACCTGTGTTAACAGGCTCAGCTCTGATTTACAGTGGGGCAAAAAAAGTATTTAGTCAGCCACCAATTGTGCAAGTTCTCCCATTTAAAAAAATGAGAGAGGCCTGTAATTGGCATCATAGGTAGACCTCAACTATGAGAGACAAAATGAGAAAAAAAATCCAGACAATCACATTGGCTGATTTGGAAAGAATTTATTTGCAAATTATGGTGGAAAATAAGTATTTGGTCACCTACAAACAAGCAAGATTTCTAGCTCTCACAGACCTGTACCTTCTTCTTTAAGAGGCTCCTCTGTCCTGCACTCATTACCTGTATCAATGGCACCTGTTTGAACTTGTTATCAGTATAAAAGACACCTGTCCCACAACCTCAAACAGTCACACTCCAAACTCCACTATGGTGAAGACCAAAGAGCTGTTGAAGGACACCATTCTCATTTTGTCTCTCATAGTTGAGGTCTACCTATGATGCCAATTACAGGCCTCTCTCATCTTTTTAAGTGGGAGAACTTGCACAATTGGTGGCTGACTAAATACTTTTTTGCCCCACTGTATATACAGTACAGCATACATGTGTTCTTATTTTTAGGCCTGATTTCTATATAGCATACCTGCGTTCCTAGCCTCAGCTCAGATTTAAATACAACATATCTGTGTTCATAGACTCAACTCTGATTTACAAATAATATACCTATATTTACAGGCTCAGTCCTAAATTATATACAGCATACCTGCTCTCATGGGCTCAGCCCTGATTTACACACAGAATACCTATATTAATGGGCTCAGTCCTGATTTATATACAGCATAGCTGGGTTCATAGGCTCAGCCCTTATTTACATACAGCTACCAGTGTTCATAGGATTGGTCCTGATTTACTAATAGCATACCTGTGCTCATAGGATCAGGTCTGATTTATGTACAGTACAGCATACATGTGTTCTTAAGTTTAGACCTGGTTTCCATATAGCATACCTGTGTCTCCCTTTATATTGTAAAGCATTGCGCTAACTGTTCACGCTATATAAATCCTGTATAATAATAGACTCAGATTTACATATAGCATACCAGTGTTTATAGGCTCCACCATGAGAGGCTCAATCCTGATTTACATATAGCATTCATGTGGTCATAGGCCCATAGACTCAGCCCTTATATATTTACATATATCAAAAAATAGGCTTATATTGGATAGGTTCAACCCTGATTTACATATAGCATGGCTGTGTTCATGGGATCAGACCTAATTTACATATAGCTTGGTTGTGTTCATGGGATCAGACCTGATTTACATATAGCATGGCTGTGTTCATGGGATCAGACCTAATTTACATATAGCTTGGTTGTGTTCATGGGATCAGACCTGATTTACATATAGCATGCCTATGGTCATGGGATCAGACCTGATTTACATATAGCATGGCTATGTTCATGGGATCAGACCTGATTTACATATAGCATGCCTGTGGTCATGGGATCAGACCTGATTTACATATAGCTTGGCTGTGTTCATGGGATCAGACCTGATTTACATATAGCATGCCTGTGGTCATGGGATCAGACTTGATTTACATATAGCTTGGCTGTGTTCATGGGATCAGACCTGATTTACATATAGTATAACTGTGTTCAAGGGATCACACCTGATTTACATGTAACATAACTGTGCTTCTGGGTTCCTAGGTATATCTGTTGGATTTTAACAGGATCCTGGGTAAGTAAAATACATGGTTGGTAATTGCTGTAATTTTAATGACAAGCACTGACTTGCAACACATATAGGGATTAGTTCTGACTTCACTGGCTGCATACTTGTTTTGGGTGAGTAAATTATGTATTGAAGGCAGAGGATTAGCATGACCCCCAGGCTACTATCATTTCCAGTAAGAGGTCGGCAATGGCAGTCTACCTAGTCTTTCTCAGTAGGGGTCTCCTTTAAAATAAAGAGAAGTACATGCACGCACCTCACAGTTTGAGAGCATCATTGCATTAGATTTAAAGATTGGCTCATTTTATACTTCAATAGTTTTTTTATTGAACAATGTTTCAAATAACAGGTAATACAGATGAACAATGTCCTGTTAAAATATATAAAATATAACACAACGCAAATAACAAAGTGTATCGGACATAAAACAATTAACCAGAGACTAAGAACTCTGTAGAGTAATTATTGGATAATCTTCTAGACCTAGGTCCACAACCCTTATCTGAGGCTGGCTCATTTTAAAGATAAACACAACCTATTTTGAAAAAGTTTTGTGATCATTTCTTGAAAGAGTTTCTTGATTTCTTGTTGAAAGAAAGAAAAAAGTTGGCTGATGACCTCCATACATAAATCTTTGAATCAGCAATGTTGCTAATAGAAAGAATGCTACTACATAGGTAAAGTTGAACTATAATGACAATTAGAAAACATGCTGTTAGGCAGGTTTTCTATTAATATATCTTCTGCAAAAAAAAGTTCCTCTTCTCCTAAATGTACATGGAGCCACGCATGCACAGCTTGGTGTAGAATCTCAGCGTGCCTTGGTGCCAGGATGAATCAACTCTTGGCATATGTGCGAAGTTATATATCATCTGAGGGTGGATCAACTGCAACTGCTGACTTTTAAAATACAGCCACTTACCTGTCTCTCGGTCCAGCGGTGTCCTCACCAGTGCTGGTTTCACCAGCCGTCTTCTCTCCCTGGCGCCGGCATCTTCAGTGTGGGCACCCGGCTGTGACAGCTTGCGGATTCACAGCCGGGTGCCCACTGCGCATGCGTGAGAAGTGCTGCGCTTTTTGAATGGCCCCGTAGTTTTCTGGGACTGTCACGTGTCCCAGAAGACTACAGGGATGGAGGGGGGGGAGACAACTTCCGCTTATGATCGTTTAGGCAATCGCAGCGGAAGTGGGAGCGGGTATCTGTCGAATTGTCGAAATGATGCAGCACTTCAGTTTGCTGAAATTTCATTGCAGCTACTCAAAAGGAGGGTGGGAGGACAACATCCACTTCCAATCCGGGTACCCGCTCCCCAAAGGTGCCAAATCCTTAATAGGGAGCAGATGACAAAGGCTTAAAGAGGAACTTCCCCTTTTGGGTGGAGCTAAACCTAGGGCACAGCATTCACTCTATCTGGTCTCCCACAGCACAATGCAGTTATTTTAGTAAATATAAACTGCTAAATACCTTTTCTCATCAGCATTTAGAGCATTCTTGTGACTTCTATCACTGTTCAGCTGAGCACATGCTAAAGCTTGTAGTATGAGTTTTCTTTCTGCTCTAGGAGGATGCAGAACCCTTGACCTCTTTCTGGACAGTGCTGACTGGCCCTGTGCTGATCACATGCACGCTCCCCCCCAAAAAAAAAAAATAAACCTCTCTAGCAATACACACCAAACTGAGCATGTGCAGAGTGGCTCCACACAATGTGTCTTATCAGGAGATAAGAGGGGGACACTGGAAGAAGGGGAGGATCAGGGAAGTCAGAATCAAAAAGAATTTTACACGCAAAGGAATAACCCCTTAGTTTCCACAGTGAGTATATCAAGCATGCTTTACTGCATATACAGACTGATTTTGTTGTTGTGGGTTTACTAACACTTTAAGTAATACTTTAAAGCAGATTCCCAACCAAGACAGATGGAAGATGTGAAGATAGAATTTTGTAGTTCTACCTGCTGGGGTTCCCAATAGATATAAAAAGCAGGTAGATGGTACAACTGTCCAAAATTTTCTTGAGATTGTTTTTCTTCAGTTTTGGTTGGACTGCCTTTTAAAAGATGAATGTATGATGCATATTTGTCATGGCTTGTATACATGGCCTTTAATTGTTCTTTTTTCAAGAATGCAAAAGCAACTAGAAAAACTCAACAGTAACTCAGACACAGACTAGTTCCACCAATGTACACAAACAGCCCTGGCCCTGCACCCTAAGAAAACGCAAAGGAAACCACTGTTTATTGGAGATGGGCTTCTCATTCGACCTGATGCTGCACCTCTATCCTCTCTCCCAACAGTGCCCTCTATGGGTGGAGGGAAGCAGTTTCCTCAATAGAATATGGGGATAGAAACAAACACAAGAGGCTGCAGGCCATAGGGTGCTAATCACACTATTCTGGTGCAGAAAGGTAAGCATTGTAATTTCTTTTTCCATAAGGCCCCTTTCACACAGGTGTTCCACAAGTCCGTTTTTCATCTGTCTGTTTACGGATGAAAAAAGGACACCCGTGTATTTCCACATCCGTTAACATCTTTTTTTTTTCGAATGGAAGAAAACCCTATTTTTCTTCCATTAAAAAACCTGGAACAGACAAAAAACGAATGTAAACGGATGTAAACGGACGAAAAAACTGATGTGAACAGATGAAAACGGAGGAAAACGGATGTAAATGGATGAAAAAATGGATGTAAACAGATAAAAAACAGATGTAATGGATGAAAAATGGATGTAAACTGATGAAAAAATGGATGTAAACTGATGAAAAAAAACGGATGTAAACGGATTAAAAACGGATGTAAACAGATGAAAACAGATGAAAACGGATGCATATGGGTGGAAAACGGATGTAAAACGAATGGAAAAAGGATGGAAACTGATGAAAATATGGATGTAAACTGATGAAAAAGGGATATAAACAGATGGAAATGGACGAACACGAATGCAAATGGATGAAAAAGGGATGTAAACGGATGAAAAAACTGATGTAAACAGATGAAAACCGGATGTAAACTGATGTAAAAGGATGAAAAACGGATGTAAATGGATGAAAAAAACTGATGTAAACAGATGCAAATGGATGTAAAATGGATGAAAAACAGATGTAAAACGGATGTAAACTGATGAAAAAAAACGGATGTAAACTGATGAAAAATGGATGTAAACTGATGGAAAACAAATGAAAAACGGATGTAAACAGATGAAAATGGAGGAAAACGAATGTAAATAGATGTAAAACAGATGTAAACGGATGAAAAAACGGATGTAAACTGATGAAAAAACGGATGTAAACTGATGTACAAGGATGAAAATCGGATGTAAAATGGATGAAAAAAACGGATGTAAACAGATGAAAAACGGATGAACAAAAAACGGATGTAAACTGATGAAAAACGGATATAAACTGATGAAAAAAAAAAAAAAAACGAATGTAAACGGATGTAAACTGATGGAAAAAAATGGATGTAAACAGATGAAAATGGCCAAAACTAATGTAAATGGCTGAAAAAACGGATGTAAACTGATCCATTTTTTCTTGTAAAAAACAAGACTGAACTAATGAAAAAAACAGAAGCGTATTCTGTTTGAATTCCACATCGCATCAGAATCGCACCCCGTTCATGTGAACCGCTGCGGGGTGTGCATGTTACGTTAACAACAGCCCGAAATCGGTCCTCAAAACGCGGTGTGATGTGCAGAATCGGATAGCATAGGTGTGAATACCCACGCGATCCCATTCTAGTGTGGACCAAAAACAGGGTCCTGCACCATTTTTGTGCAGATGCGGTATGATTAGAGCCATACAAATTGTATGGCTCCTATCACACCGCACACAAGTCGCATGCGATTTGCACAGGAATGCGGTGCGGTTCCTGTGTGAATCACATGCGATGTACCGCACCGCATATATATGTGAACCCAGGCTGAAAGGGGCCTAAAGGTGGCAACATAAGCAGCTGGAAAATAGAAGGAGCTGGGTGGAAAATGGTCACAAGCACCTGCATCCAATCAGATGTAGATGCTGTTTGGGTATTTTGACAGCTGGCTGTGTTGGCTGTCAGAATACAGTAGCAAAACAAATGTACAAGAACATGGCCTGCTTTGGTTTGTTGGGACATGGCCTCATAGAGATTGTTCTCTACAACTTGCATTATCCTTTAGGGCTCATTCACACCACCGCCTTTGTCGTTACAGAACAAGACAAAAAACATTGCTTTCAATTATGCCAGTTCACAGCAATGCCCTGAATTTGTGCTGTAATAAAAATACAACATATTTGAATGCAGCTCATTGGAACTTGTCACAATGAATCACAACATGCAATAGGTAAAAAGTGACTTCATGTATTTAGGAGTGGGAAGACAAAGGACATCAATGCACTGCAATGCAGCACTGTAAGAATGAATGTCAGTGCATGTCAAGGCACTTTTGTTTTGTGCGCATTGTCATAACATCATCAGGGTGTGTGCACTGTCGGCCAGGGGCGGACTGACAACTTATGGGGCCAACGGGCAATAGGGGATCATGGGGCCCATGTCCTTGCCCACACTCAAACCACACCCAAAAAAGCCTATAAAAAGGTACCAGGGGCATTTCATGGGGCCCCCTACTGACCCCAGGCCCTCGGCAGTGCCCGAGTGCTCGAATGGTCAGTCCGCCCCTGCTGTCGGCACAGATTACACAGAACCTTCTGGATCATGGTTGTATTATGAGAATAATTTTAGAAACCCCACATGAAGGTGGAACATGACCTTTTCTATCAAAAGCAGAAAGCAAATGTGGGAACCTAATTATTGTTATCATTAAACACGAAATGTTTGGTTTTGCCCAGATTTCATTTTTAAGACCACGGTCACATCAAAGCCTACTTTGAAATTGTGCGACCTACAGTGAAGTCGCACAATTTCAAAATCGGGTGACCTGCCGATTTCAATTGCGATTTGCAAGACATCAGACACAGATGTCTATGCAAATCGCAACAAAAGTAGTTCATGTACTACTTTAGAAATCGGTGCGGCTCTGACCAAGTCGGAACCGCACCCGCACTGGAAAACGCAACTGTACTGGGAACCGAGGTTCCCATGAGGGCTGTGTTTTCCAAAGAAGTGCAGGGACTTCTTCCCTGCATGTCATGGGCACGGGAGTCCATTCAAATGAATGGGCTCTCGTGCCCGTGCAAAACACAGCCCGCACGGCCGCATATATGTGAACCGGGGGTAAGAAGGCCCTAAGGGCCATCAGAGCTGGATGCAACATTGCAGGTGGTAGATTCACTGACAATCAACTCCCATTATCAATACATGTGTTATACATCTCTGGTCCAAAGAATGATGGTACAACTCCAAAGGATAATGTAGGTTGAATTTGAAGGATTCTGTTCCTGGAAGAGTGCCACTATCGATAGCATTGCCAATGTGAACTCTAATTCATTCTAGCAGCAGGACATACATTATTCCTGTTACATTCACATTTGTGTTTATAAAGTACTTACCATCGCGACATATGTCACAGGTGAGGCACTCAGGCAACCCTGATGCATATTGGCTGAAAGTATCTTCAGGACAATTCTCACATCTTCCACTTGTGTATGGGATGGTACAATGTTCTGCAACATAAGTACCTTCAAAGATAAAAAAAAGAAAGGTTTATGTCAACTTTCTAATAGATTTATGAGCTGGATGATTATGCAAGAAAAATCCCCATGCAGGACAGTGAAGAGGAAACAGGACAGGAACTAAGACCTTAACCACTCCCAGTCCAGGCCAATTCTGACATTTCTCTCCTACATGTTAAAGCGGAGCTGCACCCAGAAGGGGAAGTTCCGCTTTAAGTACCGCTCCCCCACTCCCCATTAAGGATTGGCACCTTTGGGGGGCGGGGGGGGTGGGGGAGCGGGTACCCGAATTTCAACAGGAATCCGCTCCCATTTCCAGTCCGATCGCTTATGCGATCGGAAACGGAAGGTGTCCTCCCTCCCTTCCTGTAGTCTTTTGGGACACGTGACAGGTCCTAGAAGACTACAGGACCATTCATGAAGAGTAGCAGTACTCGCGCATGCGCAGTGGGTACTCGGCTGTGAAGCCGCAAGCTATCACAGCCGGGTGCCACACTGAAGATGCCGGCCTCCTGGGGACATACCATGGAACCGAGGGACAGGTAAGTGGCTGTTTTTTAAAAGTCAGCAGCTACAGTTTTTGTAACTGCTGACTTTAATTTTTTGACAGGTAAGTGAAACTCCACTTTAAAAACATAATTGTTGCACTAGAAAACTACTTAGACTGCCCAAACATTACATATTATTTTAAGCAGAGGCCCTAGGGAATAAAAATAGTGGGTGTTGTGTATTTTTAAGTCACGTGATATTTGTGCAGCAGTTTTTCAAGCATAATTGTTTCAGGAAAAATACACTCTAATAACTTTTAATGCAAAAAAACACAATATAATACCCAACTGTTTGGTAAAATATAAAAGATGATGTTACGACAAGTAAATAGATATCAAACATAGATACCAAATCACTCCCAGTTTGGGCCAGTTCTGACATTTCTCTCTTACATGTTAAAAACATAATTTTTGCACTAGAAAACTACTTAGACCCCCCAAACATTATATATTATTTTAAGCAGAGGCCCTATGGAATAAAATAGTGGGTGTTGCGTATTTTTATGTCACACGATATTTGCGCAGTAGTTTTTCAAGCACAATAGTTTTGGAAAAAATACACTCTAGTAACTTTTAATGCACAAAAACACAAAATAATACCCAACTGTTTAGTAAAATATAAAAGATGATGTTACGACAAGTAAATAGATACCAAACCACTCCCAGTCCGGGCCCATTCTGACATTTCTCTCTTACATGTTAAAAACATAATTTTTGTACTAAAAAACTACTTAGACCCCCCAAACATTGCATATTATTTTAAGCAGAGGCCCTAGGGAATAAAATAGTGGGTGTTGTATATTTTTAAGTCATACGATATTTGCACAACAGCTTTTCAAGCACAACTGTTTTGGAAAAAATACACTCTAATAACCTTTAATGCACAAATACACAATATAATACCCAACTGTTTGGTAAAATATAAAAGATGATGTGACGTTGAGTAAATAGATACCAAAGCATGTCGCACTTTAAAACTGCGTCCACCTATGGAATGGCGTTAAACTATGTTACCTAAAAATCTCCATACGCGACGCTTTGAAAAGCCTTTACAGGTTACGACTTCAGAGATACAGAGGAGGTCTGGTGCTAAAATTATTTCCATTGCTTTGACATTTGTGGCAAAACCTCACACGTGTGGTGTGATTTCCGTTTACATATGCATGTAGGACCTACATGCGTGTTCACATTTGAGCATGAGCACAGGGGTGCTTTAAAATTTTTCTTATTTTATTAAAAACTTTTTTTACACTGTATCTTTATTTTTTTTTAATCTCTTTTATGGCTAATCAGAAGGGATGAACAACATTCCTTGTGATAGCATGGGCCATGACAGGTCCTCTTTATGGAGAGATCTGACATCTTTTTCTGCCCTCTTTTCCTCTATTGTGTTAAAGGCCCCTCATGATCTTGAATGGGTGGGTATAAGGTTGGGATGATCAGTAGGGAGCATGTGATCTAACATCCAGCAGGTCAGCCAGGCAAGGAAATGCTCCTCACCAAAGTTCACTTCCAGTTTGGGCACACTTACATGCAATGCTATTAACACATTCCCACAAAATGTTATATTAACCTGGGGAACAACCCTTCACTGGTTTTAAACTGAGACGTCTGGTCATTTTTCGAGTTGTATATACTGCTAGGGAGATTTAAAACTACTGTAATTTTGTTGTATCTCTAGCAACATGACAGGAAGTAAAGGAAATCTCCCTAAAAGAAACAAAGATAAGCAACCAGAACCTGACAAAGGCTCTAACCCTTCCAAGCTCTGCTGTCTATGTCTGCACATGAGATATTTCCCCTCCCTTCCTGCCCTAAGTCCCCGGTCACACCGGTGCGACTTGTCATGTGATTTGATAGTTTCATGACAAGTCGCACCCTTTCAAAGTGGGATTCAGTGTGACCGAAGTCTTGAACACCGATCAAGTTAAATGTCTATGGACTTCATAACTTGGCTGACCCTGGCTAAATTATTTTCAAGATTCCTAATTTTAAGTGTAAAGAGGCTATGGAGGTCACAAGGCCCAGTGGTAGATCAGAGAAAAGGTCACATAATACTGATTCTTTAGTTTTCTACATCCTGCAGCTGCTGCAAAATGATTATCTCTAGCAAATGCTCTACTAGACAAAATTAGCCCAAGAGAACAGCGCTGTGAAAATGTAGTAAAACAATATCCACCTCCCAAGGAGGTATACCTTTATTGATCCAAAAAGAGCCTTGAATAGGATAACAAATGATGCAGTCTGTGCCAGGATTGTGCGGTGGACCGTCTGCTCCCTGATTTTCTGGAGCCGGGATGGAAGGCTGTAGAGCGGTGAGTGACTGAGCCAGCCAAAGATCGCAGCGCTCCGGATGTGACGTCACCACGGCCTGGATGTGGGCGGAAGCTGAATCCTGGGCTTGAGAAGCAAGCTGGGCTGGAAACAGTGACAACGCATTTTGTCAAGAAGACTTGACAAAGCACATGCGCGTGAATTGAGTTGTCACTGTTACCAGCCCAGCCTGTGCCTCAATTATTATTATTTTCACAAATGTTTTTTAACATACTGTCACCAGTGCAGTACAGCGTCATCATATAACTGGTGTGATGATGATCAGGGACACTGACTGCTGACAGTACAAAAAGAAATTGATAATTTCTTTCAATTTGTTTTTTTATTTTTAATTATTTTTTTATTACATTTTTTTCTCTTTTTTTAAGATTTTTTTTTCATATTACACTATGCCCAAAGTAGTATAATGTGAACATAGTAACATTGTACTACTTTGTGGAAGTGAGCAGTTGTTTTTTTTTACACAATTTGATTGCTTATAGCAAAGAAATTCTTTGCTATCAGCAAGCATTTAACTGGATGAAATTGATTAATTCAGGTTTTTTTGTTGTGATTAGGTGTGATTGGCCACAGCTAATCACATGACACAGATGGGCTGTGATTGACCCAGCCTGTGCATGTGGTCACTGTGACCATTCATAGCTAGACACACTTGTATACAATGGATGGCATGAAAGGAAGCCATCCATTGTATAGAACTGTCATGTGGCCTGCTGTGATTGGTCACAGCAGGTCACATGGTACTGGCAACGGGGCCAGTACACAGATCTGTCATCGGCCGTGTCCGAGGTACACAGCCAGTGACAGATCTCGCCACAGCGTGGCCCTGCAGGCACGCGCAATGCACGATCCGGGAAGGACGTCATATGACGCTCTCCCGGAGGGACGAGAGGCTTGCCCGGCCGTCATTTTACTATAGGCCTGGCGGGAAGTAGTTAATTAAAAGTCAGCAGCTACAGTTTTTGCAGCTGCTGACTTTTAATTTTTACAAACATGACTGGAGCTCTGCTTTAAGCATACTACTAACTGTACCAGTCATCATTCATGGCATGCCTTGAAAGTAATGTTTTTGTGAAACAGATACAGTGGAAGTTTTCAGCCAAGGAAGCTGCCATCTTAGCCTCTGTTTGATCTTCAACTGCCATGGTGCTGCACATGTGATCATTTATGACACCAGCCATTTGATGGTTTGACAAGCAATCGAGAGTAAAAGCAAATGTTTGTTAAATTCCCAGCATTTGCCAGAAATGTAACAGTTTTTTGAAACCATCTGATTGACCCATAAGGGTAAAACTACCTTCTTCCACTGCACTATGGGGGAGATTTACTAAAACTGGAGAATTCAAAATCTGGTGCAGCTCTGCATAGAAACCTAATTGTCAAACCTAATTGAACAAGCTGAATTATGAAGGAGGTTATTGGTTACTATGCACAGCTGCACCAGATTCTGAGTGCTTCGGTTTTAGTAAATCTTCCTCTATGCATCCTGTGCAAATGACAGTTCCAATTATGAAATTATAGTCTTGATAAAAAGTTTCCTCCAATAGGAAAACGCCCTGAGAAAGGTGTGTCATAATACATTAATTCTTGAAGCCATAATTAACAATACAAGTTGGAACAATTTAAAGTACAGTTAATTCCAATCATTCCAATCTAGGTGTCAGCAAGCACTCTATTATGAAGCAGTGATCCAGAAATAAGACATTTCTTTTTTAATACCCAGTGATTTGCAGTATGGAAGAGCAAATCACCTTCCCCCTTCCTTCCAAAAGTTGGTGTTTGGGCCAGCTGCCATACCTGTTAGGTGGGGGAAACATTAAAGCCAATCTCCAAGCAAAAAAATAATATTTTCCCACTGCATGGGTTAACTACTTATTTTTTTCTAGGGGGGAGAGCGAAGATATACTTACCTGATCCTCCGATCCTCCCCGCACAAGACCAGTTCAGCACCTCTGCACTCCCCAGCGGTCTTGAATAGTGGACTGTTCCTGATGTCATAACGCCCAGAGCAGGCTCCGTAGACCAGGAACAGTTCACCGCTTGCCTGTGGGGAAGTGCTGTTTTCCAGAGGATCGAAGGATCAGTTGAGTATGAGATTTCTGCTCACTCCTAGACAAAACAGCAGTTTTCCGCTGCATGGGAAAATTGTTATTTTTATAGCGATGGGCTTTAAAGTGTACATAATTCCTAGCAATGAACTTCATTTTGCTTCCATTTGGTCTGTTAACCACTTGCCCTTCAGAGGATTTACCCCCCTTCCTGACCAGGCCATTGGTTTGAGTTACGACGTTGCATTACTTTAACTGACAATTGCATGGTCATGCAACGCTGCATCCAAATGAAATTTACGTCCTTATTTCCCACGAATATTTTGATGGTATTTGATCACCTGTGCAGTGTTTATTTTTTGCGCTATAAAAAAAATGATCAACAATTTTGAATAAAAAAACAATATTTTTGACTTTTTGCTAATAAACATGTCCAGTAAAAAAATTTTAAAAATCTAATATCGCGATAAATTTTAACCAAAATGTATTCTGCTCCATGTCTTTGCTAAAGAAAATCCCAATATATGTAAATTAATTTTTTTTTTTTTTAAGTCCGCAAACGTGCAACTATAACGAAAAAACCCGTAAGTGTTCACAAAAAAAGTGCAAGTGCAAAACACCACACAAAAAGTGCACTTAGGGGTGTGCTTTTGTCCTACCCCTAAAGGGGCTGGACCGCTACCCTGATCCCCCGGGGCACGAAGCTCCTGACAGGGACAAGGTTCCCATTTGGTCCTCCTGGCCAAAAGGCCTGGTGGACCACTGTTCCTTGTGTCCAGCCAAAGCCGGACACCTAGTACTTGGTCAGGGGGCTCTCCCGAAGAGAAAACCCCCTAGGGATCAGGGGAGGAAGGAACCAAAAGGCCACACATTCTCCCCCTAGACTTCAGGGCAGGCCCGAGGACCCACACCCTCCATCCTGTGAAAACACACACAAAAGTAAGAAAAAGTGACAAAACGTGGGAGTGAAAATAAATTAAATAAATAGAAAATAAAAAAGTGGCCGTGCCAAATTGTGCACAGACCAGGCCCTGAGGCCTGTAAATTAATTGGCTTACGTGAAAGTTATAGCGTGTACAAATGGCAGTGTATATATACTAGGATTTTTTTTTTCTACTAGTAATGGCGGCGATCAGCGACTTATAGAGCATTCTGACACTGAGGGGAACTGACTTGGTGTCACTGACATCCCCAGTAACACCAATACAATGATCAGTGCTAATTAAAAGCACTGACACTGTACTAATGGCACTGGGCAGGAAAGGGTTAACATGTGAGGTGATCAAAGGGTTAACTGTATGCTGTTTTGTATACTGGGCTGTGTGTGTGCCTCACTGTAAGCACACTGCTTTGCATGACTGTGTTGCAGCTGACAGGGGAGAGAACTGTTTTGTTTACAAACACTTCTCCCACCCACACTCCCCCCCATCGGAGATGCTCAGCAATCACCGGGTGGCGGCGAGTAATCATCGGATGGCACCTCGCACACCCCCTACCCGGAAATGCAAAATCACATATATATATATATATATATATATATATATATATATATATACGTGACTTTGCGCACCCGTGCCACCCTGTAGCAGTACTTCTGCTATAGGGCGGACGGGAATCGGTTAAATAACCAATTAAATGTGTTTTGTCATGTTTGTTCAATACGTGCAAAAAATGCCCAGTTCTGTGAGCTGATAAATTCCTGTGCTCTCTTTCTGTATATAAGGAGGGTTATGGAAATGAAGTGGGAGGAGAAGAAGAGAGGTCTGTGTTCCTTTGCACTCCATCAGAAATGAAGTAGTCAGGGCTGGCACAATGTGTTTGGTAATTCAGAGCCAAAAACACATTGGGATTGATTTACTAAAACTGGAGAGTGGAAAATCTGATGCAGCTCTGAATAGAATCCAATCAGCTTCCAGGTTTTATTGTCAAAGCTTAACTGAACAAGCTAAAGTTGGAAGCTGATTGGCTGCCATGCACAGCTGCACCAGATTCTGCACTCTCCAGTTTTAGTAAATCAACTCCATTGTGTTGTCACATCAAGGAGGAGGGTAGGAGCATGCTATATCTCTGGCAAACAGTAATTTTTCTGTGCTCGCATCATTTTTAAAGCTACAAAACATTAGGAAATGTTCATGCATTGCAAAGATGTGCTAAATATGCTTTTTTAAATTGTCTTGACATATGCTTTACCTCTATGGAGTTTACATAGGGTTCACTCTCACAACTCCAACAAAGAACTGAACCCGACACAACAGGAAGTGAGAGGAAATCTGTGCAAAGTAAGGGGAATGTCACCGGAACAAGTGTCCACAATGGAAGATTTTCCCTCACCTTTTGACCTGGTGACAACGCCACAATTTTCTGACTCTTTGACAATGATCACCAATACAAGTAGAAAAGGTGGGAATCTACCTCAGAGGGTTAGAGGCAGCAATAAAAAAAAAATTGTCAGGGGGTCTATGGCTAGTCATAAACACACAGACGGCATGCAAGGAGGAAGCTGTACTGCCGGCTATTGTATTCAAACAGCTGCAATGCCCACTGCTACCCAAATAACCAAACAGTGACTACATCTGTTAGAATACAGTCACTGTTTGGGCAATTATTTTCCACCCGGTTTAGTCCTCATACACACTGGGCATTTTTACAGCTGCTGTTATTGGCTTTTGACATTTTTTTCTACAGCTAGTAAACCCCCCAGCATGTTATCCTATATGTCCATGTACATATAGACTGTAATCAACATTTTTTGGTAGGGACATTTTTTGGCTGGAAAAAAAAAAACCCAGAACTAGTGGGTTTCTAGAGGAGTTTTTTAGCTGTAAAAATGCTCTAACGCTGAACAAAGCAGCAAAACGTGGTAAAATGCAGCAAACTGGCGTTTGTGGACTTTTTTTTTGACCCAAAAAAAGCTAAAAAAGCCACTAAACACTAATGCAAAAACGCTAAGAAAAGCTGAAAAACTCAAAATTTTAACATGACATTACACAGCTATCATTACCAGCATTATCAAAATACCCGCATGCATGGAGTCAATATTTGAGTGATGTTTTGTTGTTCTGGAAGGGTGCTGTCAGGGTCACCCACTTTGTACATTTTGGACAATCCAGCAATAGTATGACAAAATCTGGCTAGCTTAACCCCTCCCTACCCCATCCAAAAAGTTTTGGCAGTAAATATAATTTAAAAAAACATAACATGACTCCAAAGACATGCTGGTAGGTTAATTGGATCCTGTCTAAATTGGCCCTAGTATGTGTATGTATGAATGTGAGTTAGGGACCTTAGATTGTACACCCCTTGAGGGTTAGGGACTGATGTGAATGTACAATATATATGTAAAGCGCTGCGTAAATTGACAGCGCTATAATAAAGAACCTATAATAAATGAAAATAAAATAAATGATACAATACAGATTTATAAAACTGGTGCACACAGAATCTGATGCAGCTCTGCATAATAACCAATCAGCTTCTAGATTTTGTTGTCAAAACTTAATTGAAAAAGATGACGTTAGAAGCTGATTGGTTACTATGCACAACTGCACGAGAATTTGTGTGCACCAGTTTTAGTAAATCTCCCCCATTCTACATTTCCCACCAACGTCATATTAATTTTTTCACATTACAGTGGAAAGGCATTCTTTCATATCTCACGAATGTTCATATTTCTGAAGAGACAGGTGAAGGATCAGTGTGCAATCACATGATCCGTCTAAATAACTGTGTAATTCATTTTATCCTGGAAAACCCGTCCTTGTCCCTCAGAAGTCTAAATTCCCCGAATGCCAGAACGAGGCTTGTCCATCCTGTACCCTGTATATCATGTGTGTTATCTATTGTATGCAGATGATGTGACTCAACTTCCAGATCCCAGGTTATAGGCTGCAAAAAATAACGCCACTGCTACGTAGTATGTTGGGTTACGCAAGGCTTTCTCCTCGGCTTTTTTGTAAGGCACTAGTGGGCATTTTGTGTTAACCATTCATTTGCTTCATGTATTTCTTTCTCTGCTGCTCAAAACCATGTTAACCTTTCCCATAAAATCCTGGACACCTTAATTCTTCTTCTAACACATAACTCTATTATCTGCTAGAATTTGGCTCATCTGGATATTAGGCTGGCCATACATGGATCGTTTTTTTCGCTCAGGCAGTGAGCAGTGTTATAGGAACTCCTCCGCTGTCAGAACACATTGATCAGTACAGCAATTGATTGGCTGCAAGAGCTGATCAAATAAAACATTTCCAAGTTTGAAAGAAGTCAATCGTTAGATAAAGAATGGCCAAAGATGTATCAAATTCCTGCTGAACAGGACAAATTTCAATCCATCTATGGCCAGCTTTACCCTAGGTTCACACCTATGCAGATTGCGTTTGAACCGTTTTCTGCACTGTGTTGCGTTTTTTGCACTTGCGTTATTGATGCGGTTTTGCTGTGTTTTGCGGGTTTTTTTTCATTTCTTAAATTTCTCTTGTTGCTAGGCAGATTTAAAATGCAAAATGCAGCAAAAATGCAATACACGCTTTACTGCAGTGTTTCCACTGAAGTCTACAGAACCAAAAACGCAACTTTTTGCATTCAAAGGGTCCCTGACCCTTTCCAAAAAATGCACCGGGTGAAAACACGGAGATGTGAACCTGTCCCATAGGAAATCATGTTAAATGGACTGTACTGCGTTTCTGCAAAACGCTGCAGAAAATGATTAGGTGTGAACCTAGAGTAAGCCATGAGAAAAATGGGTGTTTCACTTAGGATCCATTCACAATATTTGCAGTGATTGGTGTTTCTCTGCACCTGAGCAATGCCAATCACTGAGGGGCACATAAAAAACAACTGATTTCTATGTGGCCCATGTACACCACAATGCTTGTGTGACATTCGGTGTGGTGAGCACAAATGCAAACATTTTTCTGCACAACACTGGATGGCATCCCAGGTCACTAGACCAGCCTTTCTCAACCAGGGTGTCCAGGCACCATGGGGTGCCTTGAGGTTTCTTCAGGGGTGCCTTGGCAAAATGTCTAAAAATTGGCCAAAACTTATATACAAGCCAGCGGGTGGAACAAGCCTGCCTTTTAGTTACACAAAGCCACAATTTATCATTGTGCACCATTATGACCTTCTATCCACCAGCATCCTGACAACCAATGACGTCATCAATTGATAAGAAGGATGTCAGCTGCCTGCACAGCATCCTAGTTTGACCCTCCCCCACCCCTCTCCATCAGTGCTGGGGCCACATTAGGTCAGTGATAGAGAAAAACTGAAGGGGAAGAAAAACATTGGAATACTAGTCAGTACCAGTGTGCAAAAGTGTATTTGCTTTGGAAGAATAAATCACCTCTAATGTTGGGAGTCCTACATGTGTAGATGTTTGCTGCATTATATAAATATTTCACATTTTAGAATCGGGTGCCTCAAGACTGTCCAAAATGTTAAAGTGTGCCTCGGGACTGTCCATAATTTTAAAGGGTGCCTTGACTGAAAAAAGGTTGAGAAACACTGCACTAGACCATAGCACAGTGCAATGTGCGGCAGTGCAGACTTAAATGGCATGCACCTTTATGAAATTCCAAGAAAGCAAAGCGAAAATAAATGTAAACAGTGCGATGCGCTGAAACAGTTTCCTTTCTGAACAGAGTGGGGGACATTTACCAATCTTGTTCCAAGGCAAAGAATTGGTAAATAGGAGCAGTGAAATGCATCATAACAAAGACTTATTACATGTGATAATCTGAGGCTGGTTATATATTGGCTGGCATCTATCGAAAAAAACAAACAGATCCCCCCATCCACACATGCAGGATGGATGGAGGAATCCTCCCCACTGTGCCATTTGTACTTTGCTTGCGGGGTGTCAGAATACGTCTGTTGGCCGCAGGCAGCTGATCAACAGAAGTTTTCCAACAGTCCTATTCAACATAGGTAAATTGTAGACAGACTTTTGTGCAGTGGGTAATGGCCATAGCTGGATCAAAATTCATTCAAATTCTGCTGAAAGACAAATTTTGATCCATCTAGGGGCAGCTTAATTTAAATTCTCCATTTAGCTACTTTAAAGTCACACTTGCAACTGAGTTAAACCTGATGCTAACCCCTTCTTACTTCTGTGTCAATTTAAAGTGGAAATTGGTGTAATCTTCAGTAATAAATCTGCCTTTGAATTTTGGAAACTGTCGTACTTGGCTGCCGTGGAATACAGACGCACAGATCTGTAAACCTGTTGCAGAGACTTTGCTAAAGGGGAATCAGCCTGATTTGTGACTACACACTGGGGGACTTTTATCAAGCAAATTAGCAACACGTTTAGTTGCAAATCAGGCTGCTTCCCCTTTAACCCTTCTGGACTGCGCACTGTAGCCTTACTACTACAATGTGGCCCCGCTGCACCAGATCACATATATACTTGTACCAGCATTTCTGGTTAGGGGGCTGTGCTGTCATTTGCTATGGCCAATGGCCAGGCTCTCTATGGACAACAGTGATGTGTCCGTTTTTCTTCCTAGAAAGCAGGGAATAAAAGCAGGCACATCTCTCAGTAAAAGCAGCACACGCTACACACATTAAAACTGTTAGGCAAACAGTTAATGCTTTGATTGGCTCTAGATGGTAACCCCTCCCCAACCAGTGTCATTAGGACAGCAACAGTGTATAGTATCAGCACTGATCACAGTGTTAGTGTGACCGGTGATGTCAGTGTCATTAAGTCAGTTCCACCCATCGTCAGTTAGTGGCAGATTGCCTATTGCTGATTGCCACCATTAAATAAATAAATAAATCAATGAACAAAATAAAAATTCTAGCATATGTACCATCTTCTGTAAATGCTATAACTTTCATGCAATACCAATAAATATATGCTGATTGGGATTTTTTTACCAAAGAAATCTGATTTTTTTTAAATTTTGTTATTACATGTTTTATAGTAAAGTAAAATATATTGTTTTTTTTTTCAAAATGTTTTGTCTTCATTTATATAATAAAAAATTATTTATAAATTTAATTTGGGTACAGAACAGTATGACTGTACAATTGCCAGTTAATGAAGCGCAGTGCCGAATAGCAAAAAAATGTCCCAGTCATGAAGAGGGTAAAATCTTCTGGGGCTTAAAGTGTTACTAAACCCACAACAGTAAAATCAGTCGATATATGCCGTAAAGTATGCTTGTTATACTCACTGTGAAACCTAAGCGGTTAATCCTCCACATTGTGTAAAAAGGATGTTTGATCCTGATCCTTCCCTTCTTCCGGTGTCTCCTAAATATTTCCTGTTAGAACAGAGCCTCGAGGCAAGCAAGCTGCACACGCTCAATTTGGGGTGTATTGCTAGAGAGTTTATTTTTTTTTTGGGAGAGCGCATGTGATCAGCACAGGGCCAATCAGAAACCAGACAGAGGGTCAGGGGTCCTGCTTCCTCCTACAGGAGAGTGAAATCTCCTCCTACAAGCTTTAACCAGTGCTCTGCTGCACACTGATAGAAGTTCCAAGACTGCTCTAACTGCTGATGAGAAAAGGTATTTAGCAGTTTATATTTACTAAAACAATTGCATTTCCATGTTGTGTGTACTGTGGGAGACCAGATATAGTCAATGCAGGGTCCTGGGTTTAGTAACACTTTAAGTGGTTAATGTTATGTAATATTATTATTAGACTTTTGTCTTCCTTTTAGTGAAGAAAGGACTGCAACAAGGACTTAGACAGCAATAACCAGTTGACAGGGGTTCTAGTCCCTACTAAAAAAGCACCTTTATTTTTGCCCATTTTGCTGTTGGAGATTTCCCCTCACTTCCTCTCTAGTAAAACTATTGTCACTAAAATTGGAAATAATGAAGTCTCTCTAATGAAGCCCCAGATAGGAGTTAAAACTTAATATGGGTTCTAATCCTTCCCTACCCTATTCAAAATGAAGAAATAAACATTTTGACTTGAGGTCACAGAAAGGTTGGAATGATCACAGCCACCCATAGATCTCATTCAAGTCAAAGGCTAAATGACAACCAGATATCCATGGGTGAAAGTTCCTAAAGGGGAGTGAATTACCTGCAGGGCACAGGAGACATTTGATTAGGCCATTCTGCCCTTCTACCGAGTAGTACCGATCATTCTCAGATATGAGTCTTTCAGTCCTTGTAGGAAGGCCGTTCGTGTATGAAAGAACCTGCAGAGAGGAGGAGATACAATTGATCAGCTACAACTCATCACAACAGCAAATGTATTCATAACATATTCAATAGCCTTGTAAAGTTTGTAGCATATCATTTTCTGAAACTTTAATGGGACAGTAAAGTCAAATTCTATTCATGTTTGTAGCACTGGGGTCCCGGGCTGTCTTTACATGCATATTCTTCCTAAGTTTCTGGGAGTCTTCCATGACCATGGACCAAGGGAGCAGATAGGAAGAGTGAATATCCTAAGCCTGGATGTGGTAAATTCTAAGTCACTACAGTGTGCTTTCACAATAATTTCACAGACTGTCCAGATAAAGCAGGGGTGAGTTACAATTTTGTCCAGCTATTATGTATAAGGGCAAGAATAAAGTCATTGCACCAAAATTCGCTGCGTACCCACTTGGAAGAAAAATATATTTGAAATATATTTTAAAAATATTCTTCCAAATATTGGCCATATTTATTATATTAAAAATAAAATATATATATATATATATATATATATATATATATATATATATATATATATTGCATGTTGAAATACGTTTTTATTACAAAATATATGAAGAATATTTAAAAAAAAAAAAAAAAAATATATATATATATATATATATATATATATAAATATATACTAAATATAACATATAAAAAAGTCATTTTAAGATATATTTTTACATATATTTGTAAATGCATTCCAAAAATGTAGATTTTTATTTTTAAAGACATACAGTATATTTGAAATATATTTGTAAAATATATATATTTTGTAATAAAAACGCATTTCAACATGCAGTATATATATATATATATATATATATATATATATATATATATATATATATATTTATTGAAATATATTTTGAAATATATTGAATATGGCCAGAATTGTAGCATTTCAAATATATGGCAATATTATTGGAAGAATATTTTTAGAATATATTTCAAATATATTTTTCTTCCATGTGGGAAGGTGTACTGACTTAATTCTGTCCAGTCAGTACTAAGAGTTACACAACCAGATTATGAGCCCACTTTTTCTGCTCCAGAGCCGTAATGTAGTCTTGCTGCCCCTGCCGCATTATTGGTCAAGGATGGAGCATTAGCACACTGGTGAGGTCATCCCTCTCCTCCTGATGGCATATGTGTGTGCAGCAAAGCCTGTTGGCCTCAGAGAAAACTCTCAGTCTAATGTGCAGTGCATTATAGGTGGCTATTATCAAGACAGATTTGAATATGTACATTATTACATCTTGCTACATTTACCTCCACCTAGCAACAAATGTAACGATTACTCTACTGTAGTACTCCCTGTTGGTCTGATATGTACAGTTGTGTTCAAAATAATAGCAGTGTGTTGAAAAAAGTGAATAAAGCTCAAAAGCCTTGTAATAGCTTTTATTTCCATACACACAAATGCATTGGGAACACTACACATTCTATTCCAAATCAAAACATGAAAGAAAAATATATCAAATTTGTGTTGTTCCTCTAAAAAAATTGAAGAAAGGTGAATATTAGACTGTTCAAAAAAATAGCAGTGTTTGTATTCTTCTTTACAAACTCAAACATTCACTATATAAACTGAAATATGTTTGAAGATTTTGCTTTCCTTTGAATCACTTAATGAATATTTAGTTGTATAATCACTGTTTCTGAGAACTGCTGTACATCTGTGTTGCATGGAGTCAACCAACTTCTGGCACCTGTGAACAGGTATTCCAGCCCAGGATGATTGGACTACATTCCACAGTTCTTCTCTATTTCTTGGTTTTGCCTCAGAAACTGCATTTTTGATGTCACCCCACAAGTTTTCTATTGGATTAAGATCCGGGGATTGGGCTGGCCACTCCATAACGTCAATCTTGTTGGTCTGGAACCAAGATGTTGCACGTTTACTGGTGTGTTTGGGGTCGTTGTCTTGTTGGAACACCCATTTCAAGGGCATTTCCTCTTCAGCATAAGGCAGCATGACCTCTACAAGTATTCTGATGTATTCAAACTGATCCATGATCCCTGGTATGCGATAAATAGGCCCAACACCGTAGTATGAGAAACATCCCCATATCATGATGATTGCGCAACCATGCTTCACTGTCTTCACAGTGTACTGTGGCTTGAATTCAGTGTTTGGGGGTCGTCTGACAAACTGTCTCTGGCCACTAGACCCAAAAAGAACAATCTTACTTTCATCAGTCCACAAAATGTTGCGCCATTTCTCTTTAGGCCAGTCAATGTGCTCTTTGGCAAATTGTAACCTCTTCAGCACGTCTTTTCAACAGTGGGACTTTGCGGGGGCTTCTTGCAGATAGCTTGGCTTCACAGAGGCGTCTTCTAATTGTAACAGTACTCAAAGGTAACTTTACACCTTCTTTGATCTTCCTGGAGCTGATTGTTGGCTGAGTCCTTGCCATTTTGGCTATTCTTCTATCCATTCGAATGGTAGTTTTTCGCTTTCTTCCACGTCTTTCAGGTTTTGGATGCCATTTTAAAGCATTTGCGATCATTTTAGCTGAGCAGCCTATAATTTTTTGCACTTCTTTATATGTTTTCCCCTCTCCAATCAACTTTTTAATCAAGGTACGCTGTTCTTCTGAACAATGTCTGGAACGACCCATTTTCCTCAGAATTTCAGAGAGAAATGCACTGTAACCAGCATGTACAACATTTGCTGCCTTCCTTCCTTAAATAAGGGCAATAATTGTCACTGTTTTTCAAAGAATGAATGACCTCACTAATAGAACTCCACACGGCTATTATTTTGAACATGCCCCTTTCAATTAGTGATTCAATTACACAGAATCAGCAGCATGCATGTCATGACTGTTGGGTCTGTTGGATTTCTATTACTCTACTACACCTGCTAGTAAATTAGTTGCCATGTAGAAATATCATTTCTACCAAAAACAGTGATTGATCAGGTTAGTGATGTCTGACTGCTATTATTTTGAACACAACTGTATATGCTATCTTACACTACTGTGTACATTGAAATGCTTGTGTAGATATCATTGTCCCATGCCCATGTTCATAGATGTAAATAAAGATTTTTTTTTTTTTTTAGATCTACCTTTTAAGGAATATACTGCAAGTCTGCATTTAATTTTGTAGTGTTTATCAACCTGTGTTTCTCCTTTAACAGAGGAATGAGTTAGAGGTTAAAGTCTGGCTGTGACTCCACATTCCACAGTACTATGAATGGGATAAGAGAATACAATGTGCAAAGGCTGTGGTCAACCTATAGTAATCTACAGTAACTCATGTCAATTTACAGTAACTAGACCAGTAAAAGATTAAATCTTTGGTTTACCGCTTTTGATGTGTAATCACTACACTTTTCTAATTAGGTTGGCCACAGACCACAGACAGGTTTTGCCCAATTTGTATCTTTCTCATTGAATGCCCACTTTGTGTTTTGTTCAATGAATGATCTACATGGCCAAGCACAGTAGGACCTTCATAAAATAAAATATATTTTTGTGTCTTTCTTCCAACACAAATCTAAAGTGGTTTGTTCTTCATTTTATTAAAGCATTCCTTTAGACCAGGGGACTCCAAAGTTTCAAAACAAAGGGCCAGTTTACTACCCTTCAAACTTTAGGGGGGCTGGACTTTGGCCAGTGGGAGTACAAAATGCCCTGGCATCATTGGGAGTACACAGTGCCATAGGCTTGGTGGTCAGTTGCAGTAGAAAAAATTACATCATTAGTGTCAGTAAGAGGAATAGTGCTCCATCATTGGTGTCATTGGGAGGAATAGTGCCCCATCATTGGTATCAGTGGGAGGAATTATTATTATTATTATTATACAGTATTTATATAGCGCCAACAGTTTGCTCAGTGCTGTACAATATAATGGGAGACAGTACACGAGACAGTACAGTAACAATACAATACAATACACGAGGGGTTCGAGGGCCCTGCTCCTTGGAGCTTACAATCTAGGAGGGAGGGGATAGTGGTACAGGAGGAAATAGCTGTGGGGGATGGAGTGGTAGGAAGAGTGGAGGAGATCAGCAATAAGGTGAGGATGGGGTAGGCTTCCCTGAAGAGATGGGTTTTCAGGGTGCGCCTAAAGGTGAGGAGGGTAGGTGACAGCCTGATGGATTGGGGTAGTGAGTTCCAGAGGATGGGGGAAGCCCTGGAGAAGTCCTAGTGTCCCATCATTGGTATTAGTGGGAGGAATAGTGCCCCATCATTGGTATCAGTGGGAGGAATAGTGCCCCATCATTGGTATCACTGGGAGGAATAGTGCTCCATCACTGGTGTCATTGGGAGGAGTAGTGCCCTATAATTGGTACCAGTGGGAGGAATAGTGCCCCATCATTGGTATCAGTGGGAGGAATAGTGCCCCATCATTGGTATTAGTGGGAGGAATAGTGCCCCATCATTGGTATTAGTGGGAGGAATAGTGCCCCATCATTGGTATTAGTGGGAGGAATAGTGCCCCATCATTGGTATTAGTGGGAGGAATAGTGCTCCATAACTGGTGTCATTGGGAGGAGTAGTGCCCTATAATTGGTATCAGTGGGAGGAATAGTGCCCCATCATTAGTGTCAGTGGGTGTAATAGTGGGGGGTGCAGAGTGATGTGGTGTTGGTCAGTTGGTGTTGCTCGGTGTCAGGCTCTTTTTGTGCAGGGTGGGGGGAGGGGAAGTTGGGCGGCCAATTTTAGTGTTGCCTAGGGCAGCACAAAACCTAAATACACCACTGCTGCCACCCCGTTCAGTATTACAGGCCCCGTACCTGTAATACTGTGAAATTGCCACATATCTGTGCCTACAGGAACTGTTATCATTCATTACTGTTAACCTATATATGCAACATACCAGATAATTACAACAATGAAGAACTGTGTGTGCAGTTTTTCCCTGACTGGGTACCTCTGGCCTGGGGCTTGTCTACAAGCCGTTTGAGAAAGTAAAAGTTCCATTTGATAAGTGGAGGTGGGATATGCTTCCCTGAAAAGAGAGTTTTCAGGGATAACCTAACGGT